CCCTGCCTTAGACAGGATAACTGTCACAATTCCGGTGGTCTCGGCACCCGTCATTTCCGGAAGTGAACATCCGTCGCCATCTCATGATCCAAAGACAGACCACAATCTAGGCAAGTGTCTTCGGCTTATCTTGCATTGTCAGATTGAGAATTTTTATAAAACTGTCTTTGTTTGAGAAATTTAATATATTACAATATAAATTTTGAGAAAATTGTAAAATGCACAGCTGTAACTTTCACAGTGATACTGCAATTGGTACCTTATTAGCTTTGTGTTAAGGAGGTACAGCAATGGATTGGGGAACCGGTGAAGGAAACTTGGAACAGCAAAATAATCTGGAAAAATAATCCAGTAAAATTATTCATTAAATTCGCCAATGAAATTGACCTTTTTATTTATCTTGTCCTGAATAGTCTAGTAATCCCAGAAGAGAATAACAGGTCGATAAAATCTCATCTATAAGGCCATGAAAGTTTTTAAATTAATTTACATTAAAATACCTGTCATATTTAAAAAAAAGTTTTAAGTACAAAAGAGATTGCTTATAATGATTTAATGACATCCAATCTTATTGCATGCTGGTTTCTGCAAAAATTCAATTTTCACGTAGAGTAAACAAGAGAGAGAAAGCAAAGATGTGTACCTAACACCGCTATTATTCAATAGAATGGTATTGATTTGCTTGACAACCCACTGGACTATTGCTCAAATTCATTAGACTGAGGGTGTTTCAATCAGAACGCAGAGTATGACCGACAGTCTTCAAGACATTCCCACCAAGTGCTTTTCAGTTTGTTCTTAACTTAAACCGCAGAATGTGTGAGAACTGCTTTGACTGACTCGGCAAAATTTGAGGTGTCACAGACAGGAAACAGACTGGTGAGATTGTCTTGTGTGTGTGCACGCAGGTATTGTGGTAGGTGTGGCTATTGGAGTGGGGTGCATTATACTGTGCACCGTGGCTATCGTGTGGCGAAGGCGCTGCATCAAATCTGCGTCCCCCGAGTGTAGCGGCACGGCTGCTCGGACCGCGTGCGTACCTGGAGGTCTGCACGCTAATGGAAATGGCTACTACAGGGAATGGGACAGATGCGCTGCGAGCCACACTTGCTCAATGGCTGTTCCTTCAGAGAATCATGAGATGGATTATTTTGCAACCGCTGTTACCACAAATATTCCTTGTGACAGTAATACTGACCACTTGGATACGAAGGTGACAACTTCATTCATATCTTGCACACGACATATTTAGCTTTTGACAAATGTGTGAGTTCCTAATGAGCTCTTCGATTAAAGAGTTAACAAGACAGGAACATGCGGGTTTAATACTTGATATTGATGACTCATAAACGCCAGAAGAAGATGGTGCCGGATTCTTTCTGTGCTGATGAATATTGTAGTGTGAGGTTGACGTTTTCTAAAATTGCTTAACAAATATGGAGCAATGGGGCCAATGCTATTTTGCTTAACATTACTGTTGAGCGTTCGATTCAAGGTTGTAATTCTAACATTATAATAACACGTTGCCTATCAGAATTTCACTGTGCTGGAGGCCAAGTGCAGATCTGAAGAATTAAGTACTCCTGAGACTGACGTTCTCACAGCAGCAAAGATAAAAATTGTGGTCTTTTGGGTTATGATTCCATATTGTCTTGTAGGTGGTTACCAGTGTTTTGAAGGAATGTCAGTAACCATCTTCAAGACTCATCTCAGTCTAGAAGATTGCAGTTTGCAGTTAAGTACTTGCATTTCAAAAAAATTATTTTATGATGTTCAAAGGAAACTGATATCTCCTATCACTTGATACACGATTGTGCTGCCCATAGTGACCAGTGCACAGAAAAAGTTTTCCCATTTGACTGTTGCCAACAGCATAAGTAATAGCTAGGTGCTGGCTATCCTGACTGAGATTTTATTTAGTTTGATGAGACTTACTTAAATTGGACTGTAGTCATTTTCTTACTTATCCGTTCCAATTCATAATTCACAATCGTCCACCCACGTAGTTGAGGAATTCTTTTTAAAATCCACTAAGAAGGAATGATATAATATAAATAATTCCTGCTAAAAATAATATGATATTGCTTCAGGATAAATGGAAGGTAAATGTTTGTGTTCTGCAGCCTATATCAGCATGGATAGCCTGGCTAAAGCCTTGAAAAATAAAATAAAAAAATACTTTTTTTTATTCATTGGTACTCCATACACTGGATCACAGCAGAAGAGTCAGGCTATCTCCTGGGTTGTTTCACCATTCCTCCAATGATGGAGACAGCGGGGACCTCTGAAACATTATTCTACCAGACTGCCATCTTCACATTTGCTGCCATGAGAACCTGAAGTCTCAATTATTAACTAACTTATATAATTATTTTTTTCTAGTAGTCTCATCACATAACTTGAAACTTGTATGTTTTTATTTATGGCGTGTATGTTATTACCCAGTAAGCGATCATTATCAGCGTAGACTAAGCTGATGTATAACATTCAGCTACACTCCCTCTTTGTTTTTATGGACCTTGCTTATGGTGTATTCTAAAGCAAAGTTAAACAGCGATGGTGATAAACCATATCCTTGTTGAAGAATGATTGATATTGCAGTAAAGTCCTTGCGAATTGTTCTGTCCATAAAGAAAAATTGTTAAAGAATTGGCATTGATCTTATTTTGGCTGTAGAGAATTTGCTGTTTTAACTCTCGTAATGTTTAGGGAGGCTACCCAAATGGACAGGTGAATGGTCTGAAGCATCTGCTGCTTGCGAATGGACAGATTCCTAGTGGGCAGGCGTCCCGTGACAAATGCAGCGTTCGCATCATAGAGAATCCGCAGGTAGGTTAATTTTTACATTACTAGAAAATTACGCATCAAGAATGATGAGAAAATCTATAGTACATAAAGTCTAACAGTACGCAGTCTGTAGATCACACGTGAGCAGTTCGCAGACCCGTAGCATGGTTGCGTTATTTCTTAGATGACTTGAATTCTGTAGCCAACGTATTTGAGGTTGTAACAACTGGAATTAACATGTATTTAAATGTATCTTAGGCAGTACATTGCACTTATTGGTCAGTTTGTAATACAAACTCAAGGCCTTCTGAATTTATGTTGCTTGATTAGAAATCAGTTTGTGATGAACAACTGAAATCAGTAGAGAAGAAAGAAAACAGTATTTAAAATGGGTGTTCGTGTAGTTTGGTGAAACTTATGGAAAGTGTGTACATTATGTTGCAAAGCACGCATTTGTTATGAGCTGAGTCAGCGACGTCAATTCTTGATAAAATCTCAAGCTCTTCCCTGCTTATAATTAATTACACAAATTCCATTCAGCAACGTGTTACCAAGAATAAAATAATAATTATAAGACTCCTAATTCTTGTAATTATTTCTATAATAATCTCTATCCTTAAATTTCAACAAATCAGTGAAAGTAAATAGTACAGCATGACTCAAAAGTATATTCACGACAGAACATATAGTTGTGAGTTTTCTTTAACATTAGTGTTACCAGTTCTGTAGGGATGATTTTAAATTAATCAAACATGCAGTGGTGTGAACACTTCTTATAAAGAATAATTTGTTATTGTAAAGTGGTGACTTTTATTGGCAGTAGCTGAAATATTTCAAGATGAATCCTGCCAAGAAAAGTGATGGTGTTTTAGTTCACTGAAAAACTGTTCAATTGAATATGTAACCTGTTGTTTGAAAGATGTTACCACTAAAAGATTCTCGCGGAACTGATCTTACCTTTCTTTGTTATCCTTTGTATTCTAAGCTATCTTGATGTACAATGTAAAACCGCATAAGTGGATGTGCTATACTAGTACATGATCAAAATTAGGTTAGAAGCATGAGCTTCATTTTCTAATTGGAGTGATAACTAACATTCTGATAGTAGAATCCAAAGGTTTAACACTGCTAATATGAAAGCAGACAGTTTGGCATAATTCAGAGCAGGGATTCTCTAACTTGGCCCACATTCACCCGTTGTTATCGGTTTGTGGGTCTCAAGGTTATAAATGAGGGAAACCTGTTGAAATGCCATTGGAGTTTATTTAAAATGAATGCTATCAGATTAAGTCCACTATTGCAAAAAGTTTTGCATATTCCTGAGCTTTTCTTCAACAAAATAATTTACTAGGTACTTGAAACCGCTTTTGCTTCATTAATCTTTAAATATCAGGTTTAATTCATCTTGTTTCCTGCCCCCCCCCCCGCCCCCCCCCCCCCACACACACACATTAATAATGATACCCTGTACTGCAACATACTCTGCTGCGAGGGATGCCGCAGTGATAGGCATTGCCAAAAGCTGCTGATATTAGCAGAATGAGTTTTCTGGTATTGTAAGTATTTTTTGTTGTGAAAGTCATACAAAGGCTGCACAAAACACTTTGGGCAACATGAAGCGTATGGGTCACAGGTTGTGATCCTCTGTTCTAGTGCAAAATTGAACAAGATTGGAAAGATGTACAGGTAAACCTCGATTTACGCCGGGGATGCGTTCCTGGACGAACCGGCGTAAATTGAAACTCTTTTTATAATGTAAATCAATGGGAAGTCAATGACGGGCGTTCCCGGCACCCAAACATTGACGACTTAAGTTCCTCAGAAATTGACTTCGCCGTATCCGTGATAGCAATTTGAGTCAAGGGAATATTTTTTCGATTCATGTCATCCACCCATAGCAACAGTAATTTCTCCATTCTTTCTAAAAGTTTACTTCTGCTATAACTCACTTGCGTTGCACTTACTCTCGTAGCCTGTTGCATTGACTGTTTTATTTTATATGAATTTTTCATTATGGTAGTCACAGTGGAAGGAGGCAACTTCATACTTCTGCACACATTACGACGGGTATCACCACCTTCTATTCTACGAATTACTTCCATCTTATCTTATAACGCAATAGACCTATGCAACGTTTTAGCAACACATTCACTTCTCTTACCAGACATGGTGGCTCTTCTACAATTTATAAATATAAAACAGTTGCTACTGCAGAATAGTGGTCGAACAACACAAACACGTTTAGCACTCAGCTTTCAGCACATTCAACAAGAAGCAAACTGAGCGCATTTTTCCTTACTCCTTTATCAGGCTGAACGCAAATGACTCACCATGAAGGTGAAGAGTGACCGACCAATGCTCACGTGACTGTTGCGCAATGTCGGCGGATTTGTAGGAGGTTATCTCGCAACTACTTAGCAATGAGTGCGGAGGTGACTGTATTTATAATTTTTATTCAAATCAGCGATGTAAGAATTACGATTTAGTATAAGAATCAGTACGAGAAACATTGCAAAATGTTATAAATAATAGTAAAATACATTTTTTTGACTTGCGGAGTATACTGACATTCCAAAGGTGTTCTTTATGGTCTGTTACTGACTACTGGGTCATTGTTGAGCAAGTATGTTCCAACAATATCCTTTTCTTTATATTCTGAATTTAATTAAAACCTTATCTGCAAATTGCAGTCAAGTAATGTGGTTAAAATTAATGCAGTAGTTTGTTAACCTTTATCAACTGTGTGTCATAGCTTACATGCAGTTACACATTCCGTACGTTAGTAGCGTGCTGCTAAACCATTGACCGAGAACTTCACTCCAGCTGGTGACCCTGTAGTATGGAGGTTTAAATCCCATATTTATGTATGTTATGGTTAATGGTTTTTCTTATGGTGTGCAGTTCGTTCGTGGAGGAAGTGTAGATTCTCAGCAGAGGAAGCTGTTACCAGTGACAAGATCCCATAGTGGTCACTTGCACAGTGATCAGAGGTCAGGCGCTGGCAGTGAAGAGGAGGTTCGGTTGCTGGCCGACCATCACGCCCCTCTGCTCGCTCTTAGGTATGTAACAACAATAATATGCAGTGCTGAAGACTGTATTTAAAATAGAAAGATTCTACTAGTTCTTGATTTTACATTATTGTTTGTGGTAGTATTTAAATTACTTGCAACAGCAATGCATGATATTTTGAAGACATTAACCTGAAAATAGGAACATGACTTCATTGCAGCGTGCTGCTGTATCACTTCAGACTTGGATGTGTGTAAATTTCCCCTTAATACAGTGCATCTGAAAGTGTGAAGATTTCCGTCTTCTGGGTTGTTGCGCTGTGTAGTCTGGTAGATGTTTACCAACGTTTCAGAGATCATACTGCCTCCGTCATCAGGGCGATCATCTGAAAGTGTATCAGTGCTAATGGTCACCATTTTGAACAGTTATTATTGTAACATTTGTACAAGCATTACAATTTTGAGTGTAAATGCTGTGTAATGACTAGCAAAGTGGGTGTCTTGAAATTTACTGAAGATCGTAAGGAAATGTCTAAATATCTCTCTTCAAAGAACAGTTTGCTTTTATAGTGGGGAAGAAACACTTCAGCACATTGAAACCAGCCACAGAGCAGTAGCAGCAACAGATACCAGCTGTATTGATACGGGCAGAATTGAGGATGGTGGCGGAGAAGATGTTGGAGCCAGTGACCTTGAACTCAATACCACTCAGGTCAGTAATTTGGACCTAAGTTTTGATGGTGATGTCCTTGTCAAAGAAGGCAATGAATGCAGTCACCAAAATCAGGAGCAGCGTAACAGTCAGCAGCATACCCCACATCATCATCATCATCAGAACAATAGTAGTCATAATAGTCATAGCCAAGGCAAGCCACGCCTTCATCACATCGATTGCATTACGGGTACCACTACAACAAGAAGCCAGTTTTATCCACCCCTTCTTCAACAGACTCCGTCAGCAGTGACGGCCATGCCCCAGGCCGAAGTGTTCCACTGAAAAGCAGCAGCTCATGCTTAGAACGGTCTGTTACGTAGTCAATAACAAAATGTTATTGGAACTATTTAAAATGCTATAAACAAGTAATAAAATAAAAGTATGTTTCGGATGGATGCGGGTACAACTCAATACTTTGTTTACTAGTAATTGAGGTAATTGGTGTAATTAAACTACCTTAATGTACTATATATAATTCACTGCTGCTATTGAAACTGTAACTATTGCAACTGCTATTCACACCACCATCATCAACATAACCACAAACGCCATTGTCCTTACCAGTTCTACCACTCTCATAACCCACATACCTACAGGGTGTCCAAGACATCACCATACCTTTACACATTTATGGATCCAGCAAACAGGTGCATTTATGTAAATATGTGTCAGGTGGGTCAAGATGACTGCGTCAGATACTTCTTCATGCAGTCAAACATGGTGGAACTTGGTATTCCAGGTTCTGCTGTTTGTATCGACTCGAGCGGCAAATGTGCAGTCCTGACTTGAAAGCACCCAATAACAGCTTGCGGAGATTCATTAAGCTTCATTAGCTAGAGTCCAGGTGGCTGTGTTGTGGTAGCATACTGCTAAGTCATAAAGCCTCAGAGTTAAGTCTGGCCAGCATCCAAAGATTTATATCCTCTATTAACTTACGATCAAGATTAGAAGTAAAGTCTCTGCATATTTTTTACATCAGTGACAAATTATATCGCGTGTATGATGTGTCTTCACCTCCGTAAGACTGCGGATTCTGTCGTTAACTGATGAAGGAGCTTCTGATGCATCCAGCCCTGTGCCAACCATAGTGGAGATCCATAAACAGGTGTGGTGCTTCTCAGACACTTCCCCTCCTTACTGTCGTCACCGCCAATACTTACTACGAGTAGTAGTATATAATGTGTATCTATAAGATGGTGTCTGTGATGGTAATGATTGAATTTGAAGAGTTTGAAAGTATATTTATATAATGTGTGTTCATCACCAGGGTCCCCCACTCACCTGCAAGTTTTAAAATATGACTATGCTTGAAATCGTAATTATTAAAAAAAAAGTTTTTATTACAAAATTCTTTGTCTTCATTTGTGATGATATGTATCGGTCATGACATATGTTTTTCTTGTGTTTTGTGGTTAGGAATAATTTTAAATCCACGGTTATTTCTACCGAAAATGGTCGCCATGTACAGTTCCTATTATTTTTAATGTTCAGTAGCTGTTGTCACACAAACAGTGTTGGAAGCAGAGAACATGGAAATGTTATGATTGTATATTGCCGATGAGTGGGAGCCCTAGACAATTTTTTAACAGATATTTCACTCTCTTTTTGTTTGCATTTGCAAGCAAAGAAGCTATTGTATAAACTTACTTATATGTAAGGAAGAGTGGCAGTGTTCATGTAGCCAAAATGAATGTCTAATGATGGCCGGACGTCACTCGCCCATTTGATGGTGACATTATCTATAATTTAAATTGTAGTTTCGTCTCACTCAAAAACTTGCTTTGGTCACCAATGTCTTCTGATATCAGTTGTATTTTTGATGTACTATTATTTCTCTCACCCTTCTGTCCTCTGTTTTTGTATCCATCTGACAAAGGACAAAGTCAGATGAGCTAGTGAACAGCCATGGCCATCAGGAAGTATGAAGTATAAATGTCCCTTCTTCATATGTATATTTATGAAAATAGTTACACTTCTCTTCCCTCAGAATAATGTTAAAAAAATTTAAAGGCTAGAACTTCTGTTCTTTTTTTTTATGGTTAGTTTTTTTACGTAAATGTGTCCAGGTTGTTTGTTGGCCATGCAGGTAGCAGCTCATCTCATCCATACACGCATGGGACTGGGTTATAAATCTCATGTGCCGGAAGTGTATGTGTGTGTATAGTGTTAATGTTTTACATAGGCAACTTCCCTTTCATATGCTGGTATTTTCCTTATGCTATCCACTGCTGTAGCAGAATAGAAGTATAAACAGCCAAGGAGGGCTCACACTGCCCATATGTCAAGAGTATAATGCTGGTACCTGAGTCTTTGTGAAGTAATGCAGAATGATTTTGTCCTCTCCACACGTTACTCTTTTTCTGTCTTGTTCCCTAACCTTCCCCTGCCCCCCCCTCTCTCTCTCTCTCCTCTCTCTATTGTAGGCTTAGTTAGGTCTTGTTCTCTCGTTTGTACTATTGTATTGTTTGTGTATTTTTATGCAGCATCAAATAATATATAGTAGAATTATTCCCTGTTACGTAAGATACGTAGGAAAATATTGAAAATTAGCGTGTGTGCAGGCATATATTGCATTCATGTTTATGTCCATAGTGCATCTTTGCACTGAACTTACAATTTTATTTTTAACATTTTCATAATAGGCAGCCAGGATAGATGAAAAAAAATTTGAAATTTGGTAATTTGTAGCGGAGTCTCGATCTGCCGCAAGTGCCTTGCATCGCCGTGTTGCAAGGGTAACTCATTGCTCCTGAAGTGCACCAAACTTTTTTTTTTTTCTGAATCTGTACAGCTATGTTAGTCTGTCACAAGATGAGATCATTGCTGGGATG